CACTGACACTGCTTGAGCTCCTCTACCCTTCTAAAAATGACTCTGGGAAAGTGGTTTGAGTGGCCAGTGAGAATCCCTTCAGTGCCATATTGTTGATTTTACTCTTAACAGATTTCACTGTTTGTGTTTCTTGGGTAGTTTTGGTCCTGGCTCCTTTCCCTACTGTCATTAATAAAGATAATCTCTCATGGGAACAGGCATCAACTAAAGCAGGCAGTTAATCACCCTTCAACACCACACACATTATCAGCTTACCAGGCAGAGCCATGCCACTTCCCATGATGTTTTATCTGTTTATGAAGAAAATGCCTTCCATAATGGCAGTTGAGAAATCAAAGTGCCTCAGAGTCTGGAAGTGTCAATAAGAATATTTTATCCAGGCAAGCTCCCCGTGTCTTGTTTGCAAATGGGCCACGCTGCTTTTGCCTTTCCAGTAGGATTTTTGTCAGTGAGGGACTTCCCATCCTGTTGTGCAGTTTATTAACTTGAAGAGAATTTCAAAGGTGGGATGACCCTTGTGAAAATAGGGTACAATCATTCCTTCCATTTTGGTTGGAATTCTGGTCCCCTTCTTATCTCTAGTATGAAATGAAGGAGTCCAACCAGGGCTGAACAAGGACACAGGGTTCCAGCTCCTGTAGATTTTACTTTAAACAGGGATCTCAGTTAGCATCTGCTGCCGCTAAATCTGGTTTTTGTAGGTAGTCTTGGTATAATGTTACATCCTTAATGTGTTCTGTAATTTAGACTTCTTAAAATTAGAATTATTAGATTATTTGGGTTACTGAATTTCTTTAACAAGTTGAATTCTTGGTGCTTCTGGCCACAGGAGCTGAAGTGATTATCACAGACTGATACCTTGGGATGAAGGTGCTGTGGGTTACAAACTTTTAATTTACTTTCTTCTTTTATGGAATAAATAGAGGAATGTTTAGTATGCAAATTCAGGCTAAACTAAACATCTGTATGTAAATAATGCAGAGTATACTTCGTGTGTAGTGACTGCATCTTGTTTGGTGCATCATGCTGGAGGCTGCACTGGCTGAAGTCTCTGGGTGATGGAGCTGTCCAATTTTTACTATTTTTGTAGTTGCAGGCAAGGTGCCAAATGTAAACCTTCAACACCATTCAGCTAAGCCTACATGTTCCTTTACAGTAGGTGATGATTTCTCTGGTGTTTTAGAGATTTCAGAGGTTACAAAAAGACTTATTTATAACAGCACCACACCCAAGTGTGTGATATCATTCAAAAGAATGGATGAAAATAATTGTTGCCGCTTCTCCCCTTTTCATTACAAGTCTTTGTATTTTCCTCTTAATATTCTGGCTTGTAAACTTGAACTTACATTTTCATGGATTAGCTGTTGAATGTATCCCTGTTTGTGCAGGGATGTGCAATGCTGGATTGTGCTTTGGCCTCATGAGGTTGCTGCAGCTGTTTAACATGCTCACAAAGTTTCACAGAGTTACAGTTTTAAAGATTCCAGTGTTACTAATTTCTATCATGTATCAAATGATCCCAAGAGTCTGTTCCAGCCTAAATGGTTCTATGATTCTTAGCCCTTAAAAATACTCATCTGAGACTCAGCTTTGTACTTTTTCTATCAGTGAGGTGACTTCTCTCTGACTTCTGTTGGTTAAATCATGGAGGATCCACTCTCAAAAGGGACACAGGGGGTGTGAGAGTCCCACTCAGTGGCTTCTTCTAACTGGACTTGGATTCAAGGAAGATGTGTGAGAGAAGGATAGGAAAGGTAAGAGTGGGGTGCAAAGAATCCCTGCCAGAATTGTGAAACTGAGGCAGTGTCAGGACTGAACCTGTAGCAGTTCTGCAAAACAGCATCTCGTAAGGAACCTTACCTGGATTAGCACCTCACTGCTACTTTTCCCATAAATTTTAGCTGAATGTGCCTCTGCTGCAATGTAGGTACAGTTTGTGCCTCAGTGAATATCTTGGATTAGAGGCTTTCTCTGATGGCAAGTTGGTTCAAGTTTGAACAATTTATGCCTTCGATAAAAGAGTAGGGAGAACCTCATATGCAGAATTTTTAAACTCCTGTCATTTTAAAAATGTAATCATTTATTCTGAGCAATTATGCTTGGATCTGTCAACACTGAAATTTTGTTTTTGATAGAAGACATGAAGCAAGTGGAGATGATAACATCAGATAAACTAGATAGGAGAAGAGAAAGATCTTGTGTGTAGGAAACACTCTGTGAATCACAACACTGGGGCCAGGTGTGTCATAGTCAGCATTTGGCCGTGGGCAAAATCTTCACACAGTAACATATTTTATTCAGGCTTTTGGCATAATTCCTGTGGATTAGTAATATCTTTTTTCCCCGGCCCTTTGTGTAAAAGCAATTTGTTTTCACCTGTGTCTGCCCATTTACATATGTATGTGTGTAAACATGCCTTACACCTCTCTCTGGTTCAGCAGGAAGATGCTGACACCCTCCCTAGAGGGTGAGCCCTTCCATTCTCCGTTGCCCACTTCTGATTTTCTCAGCTGGGCATCTTCCTACTTTTTCTCATGTTTTTCTTCATCTCCAGAGAAATTCTGTGTAAGCATCTGCAGGATGATTCTCTGCTGATCTTTAAACTGTGTTATGGTGTCTATAAAGCATTCTTTGGTGGTGTTTAGCTTCCCTGTGCCAATACCTACTGATTCCTGTCAATGCTTCTGGTGGTCCAGTTTTAATGACTGCTTGGAAAAGCCACTGCCTGTGTCTCTTGTGGAGTCATTGAATGGTTTTCTCTGTGGGTCTCTCCTTGTCTTGCACATCTCATTTCAAACTGCATTGTTTTATCAAGTGCAATAGTGATCAACTCTTCTTTGCAACCAGTTATAAGGGTGAGAATTTTAAACTTTGAACTTTTAAATGACATCAAAATTCTAATTTTATCACCAATGCAAAGCAATATTTGAGAAGAAATTTTATTTTATTTAAAAATAAAAATCCAGTTTAAAGGAATCAAAAATTACTCCTAGGATGGTACTTTTAAATCCAAGTTTCAGTCCATAAATTTGATTGAAAAAGCGGAATATTTAACAAGTAGCATAAAATCCTTAAGAATTGGAGATGCTTTCTGCTTTAAGATGTTAGAACTCAGAAAAGGGGGAATCAAACCCACATATGGGCTCATTATAAATAGCAATCGAGATTTAAAAACCCCCTTGGATACTTCTGTATATCCTTTTGAAGTTGATAGAACCCATGTCATATATCTGAGAACCCTCTTCAAAGCAGGTGTCTGGAATAGTTGTAAGGCATGAACTATTTCATGATATTCCAGCTTGTCAGAATGAAACTCCTGTAGCTTGGAACATCTTTATGTTGTCTCAGAACACTGTCAATGTGTTTACAAAAACTTTTGCCCCTCAGTTACAAGTACAAATGTGGTTCAGCAGCGAGTAAAAGTAGCTGCCTTCTGGTGGCCATTTGCATTCCCACATTTCAGTTCAGTTCCTGAACATATTTGTTCATTGCAGAGGTGCTATCCTGACTTACATCCCTAACAGAGAGCCAAAAAATGTACCATGTCATAGAGAATGGGTTAAGGGCAATAAAAAGCTGTTAATTTTAATAATTGTGTCCTGAATCTGCCCATACATGTAGATTGAAAAATATAGATACTTATAAAAATTCCAGAAATCTCAGGGACAGAACTTGTCTGCCATCTGACATTTTGACAAGCTCTCCAGAATTAATCTGTCTAGGAGCTACTATGCTCAGCTTAATTATGGAAAGGCTGCATCTGTGTTCAAAGCTGTTGAGAGAGAAAGAAGAAAGTAAAAATGTCCACTAGGTTTGATTAACTGCTTTCAGCCTGATGAATAAAGACAGATGGTTACTAGTTATTTTTCCTTAATGGATTTTGAAGCTCCATTTGGTGGATGAGTTAAAGTTATAGGTCCCAAATCTGCCTTTGAAGATACTCCTGCATAAGCCTTGGTGATTCTAGCAAGGTTTGCATGCCTCCAAGAGAGAGGCTTGCCCTGAGGCCCTTGTATATGTGCTTGAAAAACAGTTTTGAAATAAAAAATACGAGTGAAGTGACAGTTTAGAGTATTAATAAAACAAGTTACAAACTCTGCACAGCTCAGGCAGGAATCCCTTACAGGGGGTGATTATTTTGAAGTGCCTGTGCAGACTTATCCCCATAGAACCTGTGGCTGTTCAAGAATGGCCTCCACCTGGAGCTGGGAAATGTTTTAATACTGACCTTAAAACTTGGGAAAGTCCATTTTAAAGTTGCACTTGATAGCTGTGTTACCTGGAAAGTGAAATAAATAGTTTCATGGTGCAGGTTCATTTACATGGGTCAATTAGCATATCTCAAATCCAGGTGGGGGAGGTCTTTAAGGCAGGTTCTAATTCTGCAGCTTTGCATGTTTAAAAACATGGCTCTGAATATTTCTGCCCTTTACTTGCCCACGAATATCTCTGTTCACTTTTAAGAACATACCTAATTGCCCGTGAGTTTGGGCTCTCGGGGAACATTTCAACCTAATGGGTCTCAAGACTGTCATTCAGCAACCTATTAAGTCATCTGTTTGGTTTTATGTGTGGATAGTCATAGTGATTTTAATGGGATTAAATATGCTTACATCTAAACAATTTTTGAGTCGGGGTTGAGGTTACTGTGCACGATATAAAATGTCTAAGATGGACAATATAATAAAGGGAAGCAAAACAACAAAAAAAGTGGCATTGAATATACAGCTTTTTCCATAGTTGGTGGATTGCCTAAGGAAAAAAAAAATCACTAACTAAAATGCTACCTGCCACAGAACCATCAAAGCCCCCCGCAGGTCCTGAAAGGGACCATGAGAGGTCACCTGGTTTGTCCCGGCAGGACCATCCGTCACTAAGTCACTCCTGACCGAGAGCTGGTCTTGCTGACAACGTTCAGACGCAATTGCAGCAGTTTACAAGCAGAACAAACAGGGCTGGGAAAGCGACAGGAACGGGGACGTCCTTCAGATGGCAGCAGTGAAGGAGAAACCGGGGACATCCGGTACGTGGCAAACACGCATTCCATCAAAATAATAATGCAGGTCACTGGTTACACACAGAGGGAGGGCACCGTTCCTCAACGGGAAAAATACATGGCTTCACCACTTGGAAGCGAGGGGCTTGTCCTTCAAGTGACGGGAAACAGAAGGGGTGTAGGGCAGGTGATGCTTCGTCGCCGTCGATCGCTTAATACTTTTTTGAATCATTGCTCATTTTTCATCTCGCTCTGCTTTGGCTTTCGTTTCAAAGACCTGCTGATGTCACCGTGAGGAAAATCTAAAAATAAGTGAATTCCATTTGTGAGAGGCAGCGATGTTTTTAAGAGTTTGCAGATGGGGAGGGAAGGCGCGTCGCAGATGTGCACAGCTAATAACCCAAGTGATGGTGGGGATGCGCTACCACCCCTTTTCTTTCACCCCCTTTGCAGAGTCCATGCTCAGAGCTCACAGACGTGTTCTGGGGCTCTAAGTTGTATGTGTTTTATTTTTAATGCTGCCACTGTCTACAATGAATGATAAGTTATGTTGGTGATGTTGTAAATGTCCCCACTTTGAAGGGACTCTTTCCTGGGGTCGGTTTCTCAGTTTGTCTACACGTGCTTTAATCAGACTTTTGATTACTGTGTATGCCTAATATTCTGTTCTACCTCTTTACTTCCATTGATATTTATGAATTTAACTGCACCAAAAACCATGTGACTTTTGCATAGATAATGCCTAAATATTTTGTGGTCTAATATAAACGTGTATGGAACAAGATCTTTCTCCAACCTGTCAGTATCTAGAGACATGCAGGAGAAAAAGTGACAGAAAGAAGATGCAGAAGTGTGGATTTTATCTGATGTAGATGCAGTTGATATGACTTGTGGTTAGGGGAATCCTTTCAGAGGTAAGGCGGGCAGCACTGCAGGCAAAGCTGTAGAAGAGGAAAGGTAATAGGGAGACATAATAGAAATCTAGTTGGAAAAACAAACTGATCTTCCAGTTGAGAGTACAGCTTATATCTTTATTTCTCATTAATTGAGGCACCACTGTGCTGTGCTCTGTTCTAGACAGGGATGGAATTTTACTCTGAATATAACAGAGGGAATTTTAGGGAACAGTCTGTGCTGTCAGATAAACTGATACCTTTTCTCCTCTAATACTGATGGTTCATGAAGCTGTTTCATGTTACAGGATGACAGAAAAAAGGCAGGCAAGTGTAATTTCTCATAAGGATAACCTAGGGATGATTCCTGGATAACTTCCTAAAGAATACATAATTGCCTTTAGAATCTATCCTCTTCTTGGAAAATAGTGATAAAAATGACTTATTTTGAAAAGAGTGCAATCCCCTTTTAGCTCTTCCTGAAAGCCTAGAGATACATAGATGTCTGTAGCGTTCAAGAAGAAAACCTCCCTTGCAAATACAAAGGAGTGCTCCCAATGTTAATGGTTTCTCTGATTTAAGATGTTTTGTCTGTTGCAGAAAATTTACAAAGGGTGATTAAAGTTCACATAAATGCTGAGGCAGAACTTACAGCCCTTGGCTTCATTTACAGGTCCAGTTTGGCCATCAGTACAAATGTTCTTCACTCTGAGGTTCTTTCTTACATTAGAAAAAGTAACAGGAGATTTAGCTGAGGAAGTTGTTGTTGTTGCTGTTATTCTTCTTCTTATTATTATTATTATTGCCCCTTGTTAGAATTGAATTTTGGGCAGCGATAGGCTGCAGTTTTATCTTCACTGCCAAGTGCAGATCTTTGGAAATTACTGTTAATCTCTGAATTTACAATATTTACCATTGCTACATTTCTAAAATCAAAATCTCCAGGAGCTTGGAGGTAAAGAATATTCCTTACTTTTCTTTAGTGGAGACACACTTTATTTGGCAGGAATTATTTTCCCTAAGGGTCTATTACAAAAATAGTTTGCAGACAAAGGAGAGGTTACACAGCCTTATTTTTATTTGCACATTATCTTTTTTTTTTTTACCCTAATTCAGTTCATGCCTGGGAGTTCAGAGATCTTAATTCACCACGGTACTTGGCTGCATTCCTGGCTTTAGGCAGGGCAGTGGGGACAGTTGGGATAATTGGGACAATTCACCTTGCAAGTTGAGTGCACGAAGAGAGAAATGGCTGAAGGCAGAGGATTATCTCAACCTCCGTACAGGAGTTCTGCAGTATTTGTGAGAGGAAAGTCTGTTTGCCCAAATGAGTTTTGTCTAAGGAAGTTCAACAGCTTCTGCGTCCAGGACTAGTAGCCCGACAAATTGTGTAGCCATAAAGTCCAACAGAATCCAAATGGATGAAGGTGTTTAGGCACTCTCAGAAGCTGTAGTATACAAAGTAAATAATTTTATATTTTTTTCTGTTCCTGTATGTGTTTACTCATTAGAAGCGTCTTTCTGTCTTGGTTAATGACTCATTTGTTGAAACACATTCCAACCTGTTTTATGCTGAAATTATTTTCCAGGAAAAGCCTTGTGTACAAGAACCTCCCTAGAGAACTTGAAATGCAGATCCTTTACCCAAGCCACAAAAGCACATGAAGCACATGGAGCGGGAGCTCTCATGAGCAACAGTCATTGCCTTGCCCAGCTGAATCAGCAAACAAAGGAGAAAACTGAAGAGTTCTGTGGGAAATTCTAACCTGAAATGAAAAACAAATCCATGACTGGCAGAGGAAGCTGAAACAGAGATTGGACGTGTGGAAAAATTGCTTTGTGCTTCTAGACAATGTAATTCATGTTGCAGTTGGGACAGAAGAATATCAACAGCCAGCAGATATTGGATATGGCACGTGGTCCTTCTGGATCAAGGGAAAGTGCTGAAAAGAAAAAATGTTGATAGTAAATTATTGGAAAGTGCAAAGAAAGCCCTCGAGAAAAATGGCCAAAGAAGTGAAAAATGATGCAGGGTGAGGTAATAGACACATGCCTGGAAGCCTTGTGGTTAAACTGGAAACTTCTTCTATGCTGGAAAGTTACAGAGCCTTTAGAAAATATAAACATCAGGAAAACTTCTGAACTGCAAATGGAGCCATGAAGAGCAAAGGCAGAGGGCTCATTACCACAATGGAACCAAAAAAAGAGCTTGGTGGTGCATTTCAAAGAACTTGTGACCAGGCTCAGCTTTAACACATTTCAAAGTAACTGGGGAACCTGAAAATTTTGCCCTTTTTTTTAATGGTAAGAGCAGCAATCAAAAGCACGGGCCAAAGTGATCATGCTGAAAAACATAGAGCCAGCAAAGAGCGACAGGAGAAAAGCCTCAAGAAATGGGGAAGAAGTAAATTATTAACTGGGAAGAACTGTCTGAGCCTAAAGAATGAGAATGTGGTCCGTGAGTTTATACCTGTGGTAAAGATCCCACACACTGGAGAGGTGTCCTTGCTTTGTGCTGCAAAAAGTCTTCTCCACAGGGTGAAAGATGCTGTGACTGTAGAATCTGAAGGAACACAAGCTGGATATGGATTGTGTAGAGACTGGCTGATCACACTGCAAATTACCACAGAGTGACCGTTCTCTGTGAGAGGCATTGATTTAATTGACCTCCAAGAGTCATCACTTGGATGGAGACACTTCCACGGTGGGGCACGCTTGGGATCTGCAAAGTCCCAGGAAGAAACATCAGAAACGTGCCCAGAGTGCTCAGTGAGGGTAAGCAATGGCACAGCAGCCGGTTCAGCCGGGAGGCTGCTTGGAATTGTTTGCTGCTGGTTGGTGTTGGAATAGACTGACTGTGGAATTCAGGCTCTAGTGTAGATTCTGTGCATTGCCAGGGTATAAAGGGACAGGGCACTGGGTTACTGTGAGATGGCTCTGATAAGCTGAGAAGGCAGACAAACGTCTTGGCAAAGGTAGATGGAGCTCAGCCCCACATCAATTAACTTAAATCCATACTCCTTATAACACAGATGTTGATGCAACATCCTGATTATTTGGAGGAACCATCTTTTTTCTAGCAAAACTATCAAGGAGGAGGTGAGATAAGGATGTGCATTCAGAGCATGAGTAGGCATGGCACGGTGAAATAGAAAATAATGCAAACACAATTGCAATCCTGTGTTGCTGTACAGCTGTGACAGCTGGAGACGTCCCAAAGAGGTAAAGTAGGTGCTTTTTCAGGATGAGTAGTTGGCACGAGATGATAAAATTTGTCTTGTTGCAAAATTCTGCTAAAACATCCTCAAGCAGCAATCTGTCATTGCTGCTACCAGAGAAAGTGCAGAGTCCTCGTGAAGTGGGTACTCCACGTTAGCATTTCTCAGCCAGTTTTAGATCATATCCTCCTTTCTGATAGCAATCTGTGTATGATCTCTGCACTTAGGTACAATTCAATTCCCACACCAGGGCGAGCACGTGGTCAGCTTCTCATTAAAAGAAGCCTTCGGTGGTTATATTTTATATTAAAAATATAATTTCAGCATTGATTCAGACAGAGTTCTGTCCCCTCCAGCCCTTCCCACAGCTGTTCTGCAGCGTTGTGGGTGCAGACAGGTGTTGTGTCCATGCACAGCAGCAGGTGGGTGTGTAATTCATGCATATGGCATCCCCAGCTTTCCACACATCCCCCACACTGAGAGTCAGTGCCTGAGGGAGGGGATGTGCACGTGCACATAAACATTTCAGTGGGGGACGTGGTGGGGGAGCAGGGAGCAGAGGGATGGAGCTTAGAGCTTGCTCTGCAGGGGTCAGACATGGTGGCCACCACAGCTTAGCCCCTTGCCCACTTCTGTCCCATCCCCACAGGCTGAGGAGAGGCAGGGCCAACATTGGGCTGGAGGTGATCATTCCTACCCCTCATCCTACTATGGAAAAGCTTCATCCTGCTGTATCCTCAAGTGTGAGAGTGCATGCTTTGAATGCCAGCACGTCTGAGATCCTCTAAATCATGTGCTAGAGACCAATGATGGAGAGAGCAAAATTCTCCAGAGTATATTTAAGAAGATGCCATAATGGAGAGTGAGGGATAATCGACCTCAAGACCAGCGTACTACTAAAAGCAGAAGCAGCAGATGGCACAGAGAAGTGAAAATAGTTCACACGTTGTGCCCTGGTGGGAGGATGGGTGGATGAGTGTTCATGAATGATGAACAGCCCTGGAAGGTAATGTTCTTTTAAGAGGGTGACCTAATCTCTAATGTAAACTACATATAGGGGTATGTAAACATTTCCACTGGCTGGAAAAGTGTATATTCAACAGATTTGTAATTCCATAAAACCCCAAAGGCATGATGGAATGGAAATGTGGAAATGGGATGTTTCATGTCAGGTTTGCACCATGCTTCAATCTTCAGTGTCTGAAATCAGATAGGTCAGCACTACATTTTTTTTTTTTTTTTTTTGGAAAACCAGCTGGGTCTGTCATAAGTTAGACTTGTCTCTCAAACCAATTAGCAGGGATTTTTAAATGGGGTTAAATATGCCTAATTTGTATTTCGATCCTTTTGGCTGGCTGGATTTTAAAATTTCCTTATTGTTTAACTAACTTTCAGATTACGGCACAGTAGGTGTTAAATCTCTCAAATATACTTAATTGCTTACTTCCCCACTCCCACCCCCCCCCAGCTTACTCTGGGTATCAAGCCAGGGATTCCTGTCCAAACTAAGGTAAATGTCATTATTGGAGGTCAAGTGAAGATTCAGGCTCAGGTGTGTTTCATGTGTTCACCTAACAAAGTGCCCCTAAGGGCAAATCAGCAAATCACCCCTTCTCAGCCTCCCAGAACCCCCCTGAATGTCAATTAGCTGTAGGTATCTGCTGGATGTGGAGGAGGTAAATAGTCAAAAGTGGGCACTAAAGTGGGGAAAGTCACTTGAGGTTTTTTTGTTGACAGAGGAGGGTGTTCCAGGTGAGATAAAGCCCAACACTAACCACACAGTTTGTACTGCAGAGGTTAAATAACCCTGTCCTGACTCATTTTTAAATGTCAATGCCCATCAAAAGCCAGTTCCACCAAAACTACACCCTAAGTTTTTAGGCAGGAAATTCCAACTATTTCTCATAAAGGAAACTGTTCTTTTTTTTTTTTTTTTTTCACCGTCCAGGAAAATGCACTTTGAAGATATAAAAAATTTAGCAGTTAATCTTTTTCCTGGAGCCAGCGCTTGCTACATCACATCCATTCCCGGTGCTGTCAATCATTATCCAGCCAGCATATTGTTCAGAAGGTGGAGCTGTCAGGCAGAAGGAATGAAAGGTAAGAAAGGGAAGGCTTCTGCTTCTTGCTGATGCCAAGGGTAAGTGAGATTATGTCAAATCTTTAAACAGAGTCCCCTTTCTGTGCCCCACCCCCTGCTCCTATATAACACACACTGCATTTGGCAATACCTGCTTTCAACCCAGCCGGTGGTAGGGTGTGAGTGCCTGCTCTGCACCCCTGCTGATGGATGCTCTGGCCAGCGGCCCCCTTGGGTGGCTCTGCGTGGGTGTCGCGGCGCTTTTTGGGGTGACCACGCTCTGCAGGGCTGAGAGGAGCCCCAGGGACAAAGCAAATGTGCTGCTCTGGAGCCTCCTGCCTGCCTTGCTGGGGCTGCTCTGCCTGGCCCTGCTGGGGGCTACTGGGGGGCTGGTGGTGTTTTTGGCCACGTGCCTCGTCTCCTCCACGTACCTGGGCAGCCAAATTCTGCTGCCTGTGGGTGACAAAGCCGTGCTCATCACAGGTAAGGTGCTGCAGGAAACAAAAACTGGCTTTTCTCACAAGTGGGCTGGAAAACTTTGTGTTCCTCGGGTTAGGGATCTATGAAGTGCATGCTTGTAAGAGTTCTTTATATATATATATGTATTTTTTGTTGTTTTACTTGCTTTGGCAGAGGTTGTTTTTTTTTTCTTTTCTGGGTAAATAAATGTTCTGAAATTAAGCAGAAAAGCATCTTAATAGATGCTATTATTTTTTTCAGTGTCTCATTTAATCTTTACAAGTATCTTTTTAGGGCTTGCTTGTGAAATTAACTGGTGCAAAAAGCATGAGAATACTTAGGGTGCTCTAAATTTTTAGGAGAGACTTAATAATTTGTGGGAGCCCTCCAAACAGTACGTTCACTCATTCCTTTTGTTTACTTGAATCTATTGTGCTGGTTGTGGGTGCACAGTTAGTTATCTTTGGAGGGGTAGGTGTGTACACAGTGCACACTGCTTAGCATGCAAGTATTTCAAGGCACTGGTTTGGTGCCATCCCTTTGAAACGATGTGTGAAATCATTCGTGAGGGATTAATTCCCTTCACTAGCAGTGAAAGTTCAGAGCTAATTAATTCAGGCTCTGTTAACACTGATCTACTCAAAACATGCTTTTGTTTTGCAGGGATGGGCATTTTTCTAGTGTTATGGCTTTTCTCATGTTTCTTCTAAAACTTTAGATGTTGTTTATTTGATGTTTTTTATTTGTGTTAATCAGACCTTTAAACTGGAGTAGCTGCCAACTGCTTCTTGCACTGTTAATTTGTTGGGTTTTATTTTATTTTCTCATTTGTTTGTTGTTTTTTTTCCCCCCTCTGGAAAGCTGAATTAAGTAGTTTTGGTTCATAGAGCAATTTCTTGCAGAATTTCATTTTGTTTTATGGGGACACCTGGAAATAATTTAGATTTGCCTAGCAAGCTTTAGTATGGGGATTAAATATAAAAGCTGAGAGGGGGCAAGAGTAGCAGCAAGTTCTCCCCTTGCAGTTTATCTGCCATCTGGGTTTCTCCCTGCAGGTGTAGCAGATGAAGATGGGTATTGGCAGGAGGAAGTTGGGAGCAATCCTATCCCACCCCTGCAGGCTCAGGGGTTGTTCTTGCACTTGGGCATCTCCTTGCTCTTTGTAAGACTGCAAATCTTCAGGACAAAGCACTCTCTGGGAGCTTACCTGCTCTGGAGAATCTGAATTAGGACAGTGTAAGGGAGTAAAGAACATTTGGGTAAAGTCCAGCAAGTGAATGTTCTTTCTTTGTGCCTGTTCTGCAACTGTCCTTAAGAAATCCAAGTCTGGACATCTCTGACAGCTGATTCATTTGAGAGGGCTATTTTTTTGTCTTTGTTTGAACCCTATGCAATCAATCAGTCAAGCCCTCTATCTACTGAAACAAAAGTTTTACTGAACATGTGTCTTGGTTCAATTGTTCTGATTGTTCCCCCTACCAACTTTAGGACAAGTGTCCATGTGGATTTGCAGGTGCAAGGTGCCTTTTAATAGACTTTGGAGTAATTTTCTCCAGTTTAGATAAGACCTGAGGCAGGCAGTTGGTGGAAATTACCACAAAGATCCAAAATAACAGGGATTGTGGAATTCTGTCCTCAGTTATTCTGTGAGCAGTGGGATGAATTTCTCCTGTTAATTTGGTCTTTCCATTCTTGGTGTGTGATTTGGTGTTTTAAACTCTGCACGAGTCAATCATAAATTCTCAGTAATGATTCAGTTACAGTCAGTAGTGACTGCCTTCCTTATAATAAATCCTCTCATAATTCACAAATTATTTCAGACAAGACTCCTCCAGGAGTGTGGTTGAGGGGGAATTGAATATTTTTTTCGCTATAGAGACCAAACTACTGTTTGAATTCTAGGAGCTGAAGTGTAAAGTTTCTCCAGAGTTCAATAACAGGTCTGAAACTCAAATCATACTCCCCCCCCCGCCCTAAAAAGCCAGGAACAAACCCAGCATCAGGCACAGATAAACACTACTGTTATCTCCTTCTCAGGATTGCTGCTCTAATCCCACATTTAAGCTGTATCTGCCCATTCTCAAGGTAAAACTGCCTTGTAAAACTTAATATGTAACTGTGGCTGTGTACTTCCTGGGAAGGATGAAAGGGGAAGGATTTGACCCAGAAGTAGGGTTTTTCACTATAAGGAAAAGAAGGCATGATGTTCCACCCCCAAACCTAGAAATCTGTCATGTCTCTGGGATATTTGCAGGCCTCTTCATGTCTCTTAAGGAAATTCCAAGAATGCAGGTTTGTTTTTTCAGGTCAGGACTGGAGAAGCTTAATGTGATACTTGTAGTACTCCAGTGCATCTTCAACAAATTGCAGACTTCTAAAATGCCAAAAAAGCAGATGCTTTTTTTTTTTTTTTTAAGAATTAAATAGAGCAGGAGTAATCCTTTTCTGCATCTGCACTGATTGATCCAGGCATTTAGTAAGTGTTTCCTTCAAGCCACCTGGAATTCATCTTTTTTCGCCTTTCAGAACTAAAGCCCCAGTTAAAAGACAGAATCCAGAAATGATGATCTAACATGATTACGATGAGTCTCTTTGGCAGTCAAATTCTACTGACTGCAGACTTTGAGTGTAGGAGCAGACCTGTGAATAACTATGATTTTATCTGCCCTTGGTGTGCTGAAATCACAGACTAACCCTTAGAAGTTGATGGCCGGGTTAAGTAGGGAGCATTTCAGCTCCTTCATAAACAGGAAAACAGTAAAAAAACTGGCAGGAGTTCCAATCCTTTGTCCCACATTCAGGTTTCCAGAGTCTGGAAGCTGAGTGTCTGTGTGGTAAATTGGTATTTCAGGAGATAGCGCTGGGGTAGCTCCATGGATCTCGGTGTGCAGCAGCATCTCCAGGAGCTTTCTTTGCTGTGGTTACAGTGGAGGGTGTGGTGCAGAACAGGCTGATGTGTCTCTGCTTTACAGGGCAAAACTTGTATTAATTTCTTAAACTCCTCATTTTCCTCATGATATCCTTTGCAAAACTCCTGATGCACAGTCCCTAAAAACTCCTTCTCTGTCTCCAGCTGTGTGAGGGACTTCTGACAGAGGAGGGGAGAGACAAGACAAGGGGGAATGGCTTTAAACTGACAGAGAGTAGGTTTAGGTTGGATAGTAGGAAGCAATTTTCCCTCTGAGGGTGGTGAGGCCCTGGCACAGGTTGCCCAGGGAAGCTATGGCTGCCCCATCCCTGGAAGTGTTCCAGGCTATTTTGGATGGCACTTGGAGCAACCTGGTCTAGTGGAAGGTGTCCCTGCCCTTGGCAGGGCAGTTGGAATGAGATGACATTTAAAGTCCTTTCCAACCCAAACCATTCTATGATTCATTCAGTAGCAGCAGCAGCAAAATACTGGGTCAAAGGGAGAGACTTGTGAATCAATCAGATTATTTGTTAAACATTCATCATCTGTACCTGGTGGGAGGAATTGCACAACTGTGATCCCAAAGACCATTGTGTGTTTGCTTCCTGCAGTTGTTAGGCCATTGCTTCATGTAGGCAAAGTCTGGGAATAAGTTTGGAAGAGCATTAGAGAGGATAAGAGAAGTTCTGATGCAAGTTTGAATTAATTAAATAGCTGACTTAGCATAAAGATGCTGTCCTGAAGCTTTCTTAGGGTTTGAAAGGACTGAATTCCTTTGCACCTAGAGAAAAAGTTGCTTTGCTTTGTCTTGGTTACACACTGTGCACAAAAAAATGCTTATCAGAGGGATCTGGGTGGTAAATGTTTGAATAAAACAATGTTCCTTTTTTGAATTAAAAAATAGAACCCAAGAATATGAATGGAAAAATACCCCATAATTCCTTTGTACATCAGAGATTTCAAATTAACACATTAGTGTGTTTATTCTTTTTTTTTCTTAAATACTTTTGTTATCAGGTTTGAGACTGAATATTTGTATAAAACCAATCTGGGGTTTTATTTCCTCTGTATGTGTGAAGTCATAGAATCTGTCAGTGGAAGAGCAGGAGCTGGTGCCATCAGCTCTGAGCCAAGAGAATGTGATCTATCAATCTTTATGGAACATTCAGAGGTCCAGCTCCTCAAACCTTCAGATCTGAACCTTTCTTCCTACCTGTGCGTTTCAGGGACTTTGCCATCATCTGTTTACATTTGCATGGAGTTTGAACGTGTGTATTTTTTTACCTTTTTTTTTTTTTTTTTTAATGATGGCATAGGACAGACCCTCTTCTCAAGTGTCTTTTTGATGCTTTCAGGAAGCGACACCGGGATTGGCCATGCACTGGCCAAATACCTGGACAGCTTAGGCTTTGTTGTGTTTGCTGGAGTTTTGGATAAGGATGGACCTGGAGCTGAGGAACTGCAGCGGAGCTGCTCTGGGAGGCTCTCTCTCCTTCAGCTGGATATAACCAATGCCACTCAAGTCAAGGAAGCCTATCTGAAAGTCTCAGAGAAGGTGCAAAGTGCAGGTACAGCTTTTATTCCGTTTTAATGGGAGCATTAGTGGAGCTGCACGCAGGTGCATCTCTTGGCTGCATCATGGCCTGTGCGTGTAAGTGATTTCCACGGCACAGCCTTGGGCAGTCAGGGTATTTACAGTGATGCCTCCTGCTTTCTGGGATATAGGAAAATGGTAATACTGTTCATGGAGTGGGGAATGTGTATCTGCAGCTGCAGATCACCTCTGCTTCTGTCTGGAGGCACCATCCATCTCATCAGTGTAACCCTTATGCAGTTGGTTTCCTGCTCTTTGGCTGTGTGTTTCCTGTACTTTCTCCTCTTCCCAGGCCTCTGGGGTGTTGTGAACAATGCAGGCATCCTGGGCTTCCCTGCTGATGGTGAGCTGCTCCCCATGAGCAACTACAGGCAGTGCATGGAGGTGAATTTCTTTGGGGCCGTGGAGGTGTCCAAGACCTTCTTACCGTTACTTCGGAAGTCGCAGGGGAGGCTGGTGAACATGTCCAGCATGGCAGGTGAGCTGAGCTAAAAGCTCCAAATACATTTCTGGAGCAACAGAACAAAAACAATCAACTTCCTTGGCAAAAATGCTGAGGAAGGTGTCAGTCAGTCTTTCTTGTCTATACACCCGGGGAATTAATATTAAGGGAATGAGTTCAGTTTTTGTTTTGTTTGGGAGACTGTATTTCCAGAAAGCAGCTTTCAAAGAAGAGTCTAGTATGGCTGAAAATATTCTGTGACAGAAAAGACAGTAAAATTCAGATCTTGTGTTCTGGATGCTGTGAGTGATAACTTTGTGAGCTTCCATAAAGATGGAATAAAGATATTTCTATAACATGTTCAGGCAGAAGGCTGTGACCACCTCAGTGTGTGATATCTGCTGATAATCCGGGAGCTGAAGAAGTTGTGTTTATATTTTTTTAAAAATATTTTGGATATCTTCTTAGAAATCCTTAGGCCTAACTTATTAGCGAAGTGGTAAATTTTTATTAAGAAAAAAAAAACCACCAAAACTACAACCTTTTAAAAAACTACCATATGCTTTCCATTTTTTTCCCCCTAAATTGTTCTTGCTATATATATGTGTAACACGTCCTGCTATTCTAGGAGGACAGCTGAGATGCCAATATGTAGGAAGTAATGTAATACACTATCTGGGAGCCAACAGCTGAGGAGCGAGAATGCTCCTTTGAAACTAGAAGCAGGAAATGCTGCTGAAAAGTATTTTGGTTTCAGAACTCTTTACTGTATCATGTGCTTCCCAGATTTTCCTTTGCTCTGTCTGCTTGGACCCTTCTGTGCAATTGGAGTCCACCCAGATCCTGCTGCATTGCTGGGGTGGATTGTGAAGGTGTAACCTGGTGCTCACAGCTCTCAGGGGGGTGTGGCTGCAGTCTGGCTCTGACACTGTCAACTGTTTTCTCTTTATAATCCCAAAGATGTTCTATATCTGCATGTCTACAGCGAGAACTTCTGTTTGCTTTCATGCACGATTTTAGAAATTATACAAGGATTTGCATAAGAGTAATTTCTCTGGTGGGTGCTGCAAAGAGTCCAGCCCAGAGGAAGAGCCTGAGAGGAGAATTTTGAACTCAGAAGGAAGGTCCAGCTGCACTGCCCTGGCACTAATCACACAGGGAGCTCTGTTTCAAAAGTTATCTTCTCCAACTCCTGCAACATCCCCTGCCTGGTTGGATGGGTGCTACAAGTGAAAATTTAAAATAATTTTACCAAAAAAAGGGGGTGGGGTGGTGGAGGAAGTATCTATGGGGAAACTATATGGAAGTGAGAAAGCAGACAAGGCAGGCTCAGAGTAAGAAAGTTCCAGGTAAAATGTTAGCAAGAAAAATGTTTCCTGTTTCAGTTACTACTTTTGAAGTTTCTCCATATTAAAACAATTGCCCCCCAAAAAAGCTGTCTTGAATCTTCCAGATCTAAAATGTATGGAGAGCTGTAATCTTGCTGTGAAAACACTTAACAAGGTCTTAAATATTTAAATATTTTAAATGATGATACAGAATAACTCCTGTGTTCTTCTCACAGTATCAGTGTAAACAGAGCAAATTCTTTTAAGTGGCAGTTGCCTGTATGAGTCCGTGTTTATAGTTCATTGCTGACACTTTAAAAAATCAGGATGGAATTATCAGAAGGACCTTTCTGGTGCTGCTTTGCCCACCAGCTCCTGGAAGCATAGAGGCTGAGGCCAGACCTCTGTTTCCTCTGAGTGCCCAGGTGAAGCCTGCACTGGTGTTTTGGGACAGATGTCTTAATTCTTAGCGTGAATCCCAGAGCTGCCTTGCAGGGATAAATGGAGAGCTTCCCTGTGCCGAGTAATTTGCCCTTACAGGAGTTGATAATGACCCTGCTCAAACTACAGCTGTCTGCAGAGATGTTCTTGCCCGCAGGCTGCTGTGGGTGAATGGCTGCTTCTTAATGCAGGGTCTGAGGGTCCTTTAGTAAAACATTAGTGGAAAAGTTAGTGAGGTCTCATTGTGCCCAATCTCTTTCCTGTCTGTGGAGAGCTCATTTAGCTGGACCCAGGTTAGCCTGACCTCAGAGGGAAAGGTATGTGATTCAATTGGCTCAAACCAATTGAAACTCCAGCTTATTCAGATGCATCCAGAAGAATAATTAACATATAATTGGCCTGACTTCTTTAAAGAAATGACTCCGTGTAAGAAGATGATACCCTGCTCTTTGCAGTGCAGTATACACAATAGAAGGCACAGGTGACTTAACCTGAAAATTCCCCTCTATCCAAGTATTTTCTTTTAAAGGACATGGAGGTGAAGGTGTAATAGGTGAAACAGAGGCTGTATGGGAGGATGTGTCCATCTGGCTGTGAAGGCAGGAGGAGGAGGAGGGATGTGCCTCAAGGAGAAGGGCTGTCCATTCTGTGCCCTCCTCCCTTCTACCAGCACAGCACTGGTGGCTGTGATGACCCTAAACCTGGCAGAGATGATCTGTGTGGTGATAACACCAGAAAGGGGAAGGGCTGAAGGAGGACAAAATGCTCAAACCCAAGCATGGATTTTTCTAAAGCTGGAGGAGTGACAGTCTGCTGGTTTCTGGGACAGAGGAAATCTCTGGATTTGGAAGATTTTGTTTTCTGGAAACTTGTTTTTGTAAAAGTATAGATTTCTTTTAAATTCACCTAAAACACTGGCTGCTTTCTTATCTTTTTTCATGTGGACAAATGCTTCTGGGATTGGAGCAGATGAGTTATAACTATAGGCTGGGAATCTGCTTCTGTGATGGTCTTGGGGAAGTCCTGTCATCTGCAGAGTGGGATTCCAGCTTTGATTTGTACAAAGAGGTTTTCTGCACTATGGTCTCTGGTCTTTCTGAAACTATCTGGAAAGAAGAGAAAAAGAAGTTGGTTTTATAAAGCTGGAATTGAGGTTACTTACCCTGTTCTAACTATGGTTTATTGTAGGAGCTTGAAATTCATGCTACAGTGATGAGAACAGGAGCATAAAACTACTGCTTCACTATATATGTGAACTAAAACATTATCTGTGTTTCTCCAACCAACAGTCATAACTTTAAGCAATTTTTACCCTTAAATGGAATACAGTTTATTTTTCTGCCCTGCAAGGTGTCTTATCAGGTGTTACTGAGCATAACTGCCACAAGCAACTGTTAATTTACAACTTTCCCTCTTTTTTAACCTCCAGCAAGGAATGATTCCCTCGCTGACTTGTCTTTAACCTCAGTGAGAGATGCATAATTCTGGTTGTGCTATAATCTTCCTTCTAAATCATGAGAATAAAGGCTGGGAAGAGCCACCACTGAGGTTTATCATGTTTATATTGCTCCTGCAGGAGGCATTCCACTACCGAGGTATGCTGCATACGGTGCATCAAAAGCAGCTCTGTCCATGTTTTCTGGAGTAATGAGGCAAGAGCTTTCCAAATGGGGAATTAAAGTTGCTGCAATTCATCCATCAGGCTTCAGAACAGGTTGGTGTTTGACGTTTTGGGTTGTTCTTTCTGCCTCCTCTCTTTCCCTGTAGCCCAGCAGCCTCAAACAGAGCCCTGAGTGATGTTCAGGAGCCAGACTTTTCTTTTTTTTTTTTTTTTGCTATTCTTCATGTTGGTTATGGAAATTAAGATCTGTGTTTTTTTGTGAGAGATATTTCCCCCCAGTCCAGCACACTGCCTGCCTCTGCCTCTCCTGGGCAGAGCTGTCTTTGCTGGGAGCCAGGGCAGGGTTCAGGGAGTTGATACCTTCCCTTTGCTCCAGCTTGGTTAAAGCTGATGAACATCACAGTGTGTTTGATTTGGGTGTTAGGACTTGCTTGTTCTGCATGAGAGTTCCAGGTCCCCCTGTCAGTCTTGCCTTCCTCAAGTGGAAGTGGATCAAAGTGAGGCCTGGGAATTGAAATTTAAATATTTAAAGATTTTTCTTTATTTACAATGCTTAATTCTTGATAATAAGGCAATAATTGTATCAGAGAAGCCACTGCTTTCATTCCTGCGTGATGCAGGTGGGGTGGAAAAATAGATTTATTTATATTTTTGAAACTATCCTAATACAAGGCTCATCCTTCATGAAACTGGTTATTGAAATACTGATGTCACTTGTGAAAGGGGAGCCAAACCAGCTGAATCCTGTTCATCTTAGTGTGCCTGTCTGTCCTCAGTTGCTGACATCAGTTAATAAATACTGATTGGAAACAACCACAAAATGAATAACGACAGAATGGCAAAGGGCTGGAAGAGGGGAAAAGGAAAAATGCTGACTTGGCTGTGAGAGAACCTTTTTAGACAGAATTGGTAACGAACCCTATGCTTTTTGTGTAGTCTGTGCTTTGTGCTTTCCCTCCTCTTCCAAGTCAAAGCCCTTGCAGTAACCAGGTGTGGTATTTGTTCTTCACTGACACAGTTCAGGACAGTTGTGAATCAGGTTGGTGATGGAAAACAACTTGTTGTCTATGAATTACAGATGATTTCTTTTTTTTTTTTTTTAACATTCAGCCCCAGACCCACTTGCTATCCTGTGATGTTGCTCCTGCAGGTATACAAGGCACATCTGACCTGTGGGATAAGCAGGAAAAGGAGCTGATGGAGAACCTGCCAGCAGACACGAGGCAGGCCTATGGTGAGGACTATCTCCTGGGGCTGAGGAGCTACCTCCTCCACATGCCCAGCTGCTGTGACCCCGACCTGTCCCCTGTGCTGGGCGATGTCCTGCACGCTCTGCTGGCCAGGAGACCCCATGGGCTCTACACCCCTGGCAAGGGGGCCTATGTGCTCCTCTGCTTCTTCTGCTGCTTCCCCCTCTGGTGCTATGACTTCTTCATTAGCAAGATGCTGAGTGCTGAGGCTGTTCCAAGGGAGCAGGGAACATCAGAAGATGAGAGCAAAAACCTCTGAGGTGTCTACCAGCACTTGTCTCGCTTGATGAGACAGCTGAGGAAAACTCTTTATATAAAAGACACTGCTATTTATTGTACTGTCTTCATTAAGTTGAATTTACACTGCCTTGCAAAGAGGTGAATCTTTGTGTTGAGTGATGTGGAAAAGCAGTGGATAAACAGAAATGGAAAGCTATTTCCAAGTGGGGTATTTTTTGAGGAATTTCAGTGTTTTCCTGATGTCTTTATAGCCTGCCTTCTGTGTAAGGTATCTCACAAAATTATATGGTTCCTGTCTGCTTCACAAGGCATCACCAGCACACAGACAGATGCATAGCCTGTTTTTGAAAATGAAACATCCTTGAGAGCCAGTAACCTTCTTAAACATTATAAGGAGTTACATATATTCCTATCGCTGGAGGGATTTAGAAATGTCTAATGGAAATTTTTCCCACTTCAACCTAATATGTTTGAGGTTTGGGTTTTGGTTCTGTTGCTGCTGAACTTGTGAAATGATTGTACTTTCCCCCCTCCCCACCAAGTTCTGTGACGTATAGTTGTGAAGTTTAGAATGTGTTCTCTTTGCTAGACCAGGCAACATAAATTAGTTGGGAAGTGGGGGATGAATGAAGACAGATCAAGACCTTTATGAAGAAATAAACAATTTCCTTCCTACAGTGACAGTGAGTGCCACAGTAAGTGTATCAGCTGCTGATTTGATGTGACTGGGTATTTCTTTGCACTGCCTGTATATGCCTGTGCATTTCTGATTATGAGTAAAGTCTCACCTCACTTCTGCTTTCTGTGCTATTCCTCACTCAGTTTTGGGTTTACAAGAATCATGTTTTTGCCCGTTTCTCCTGATACCTTCTTGTCTCCCTTTGCTTTGGGAGGAGTTTGTGCTCACTCAGTCTCCATGGTGGCTTTACTGGAGTCCAGTGTACACCTTCTGATAGACTGTGGTTGCTCCCCTTCCCTAAATTCATTCTGGGTGATGCGTTTCTTTTCAAATGCTGAAAAATTAAAAATTATCACATTCTGGGTTTTAAATTTAGAAGAACATTTTTCCTTTCCATTCTGAGCAACTTCTGTCATAATCCTTGTAATGTGATGTCCTCTTGCAGCCAACTGAACAAAATCACTATTTAATTTGCACCTGTAGTGTTTATTCAGTCACCTTCATGGGTCTTCTACATCAATGCAAGTCTCCTATAAATGCACAGAGGATGCTCAGAGGGCTTGGGCCACCTTTTTAATCTGTGTCCCAGTGGGGAAATCCTCCTGTCCTGTACATTTTGTCACAATTACTGCTTTTGTTGCTGAGGTTTATCACCAGGTGGGTTTATATCAGTCCCCTGATTACAGACTTTTGCTTTCCTTTGGGGAAGTGTGACAAAAAAACGTTTCAAACTCAGAAAATCTGGGACTATTTCTCTCTCTCTGCCAGTTTATTCCTTTATCTATTTCCCTAACTTTTTATGTGTCAGCAAAAAGTCGTAATAAAAAACCATTATTATTCAGTAACTGCATGGCTGTGACTCTTTCTGTCTTGTCTGACTCTTGGTGCTTTTTGGGGATCAGGGCTGCATTCCCTCCCTTCCTGGGCTGCCCCTTGGTCCCAGAGCAGGAGAGCACTGAGCAGGAATGTGGTGGGAGCTTCTCCAGGGAAAAGAGCCGAGATGGCACTTGGTGCCCTGTGTTGGGAGGTTGTGATCCCAGCTGGCACAGAGGGAGCTTGGGAGCTGGAAGGGAGAGGAGGGTGTCATAGTGGGTGGCAACCTCTGAATTATGGCTGCCTCCAGGGTGAGGGAACTTGCAGCCAGTCAGCCTATCTCTGTTTCCATCGTGGATGGAGGTGGCTGTTTTTCTCTTCACACCCAATGTACCTGGAAATTCTGTGGGCTGGAATTTTGCCCTTAGGTGCATTATACATTATAGAATGAAGATTCTCTTAACAGTCAGCTGTTGTGCCTACCAATCTTCATAACAATCTTTAATTGTTGCTTTGTTATCTGGCTGTAGTTATAAAATGGAAATTTTTTTTATCCCCTTGGCTTTCTTAGTGGGAATATTATCTTGCACATTGCAGACATATTAAACTAGGCATTTACTTGGAAGTTTTGACTTCAGTTTATTTTTTTTTTTAACTTTAATTTCCCAGGAAATTTCTATTCTGAATAGTCATTTCGTATCTCTTCACCTAACTACAAAGATATTTTAGCAAGCCTCAAACAACTGTGGTATCAGAGGTTGTTATTGTGTTTTTTTTTTCCTACAGGGAATCTTACTTCGTGTTTTAAAGATAATTCTGTTGTAACACGCTATTGAATTATGTGCCATTTAATGGGCCATAGTATTAGAAGCAGATTTCTTTTGCTGAGGGCTTGCATTGCAAACAATCCCAACTGGAACTGCAGAATGAATCACGTGTGTTTGTGGCCAACAAGACCCTGCGGATTTTAGTGCTGACACTGCCTTGTGCTCTCGAGGACAAATGTCCAGGTGTTATGCTCCTTCTCTTACCAAAAAAGCTGATGCAATGCAAAGGTATTTTAGGGGTGGGAAGAGAGGATGTTTAGTTCTGGCAATGGAAACTGGTGTATTAAAAACCCCAAATTAACTGCCACCATTTGGGTCTGTTTGCAAAGATAACATTTCTAACAACCTGCATATGGTGTGGAGAAAAGCACCTGAGAAATTAAAGAAATGGGCTGTGGCCCTAAAAAAGGACTAATAAATAATACTCTAAAACATCACTTAATGCCCCACACTAAACAAGTGTTATATACATTAAAAACACACATGTGTATAGTTTAAAAGGGGTTATGAACTGTGGAAGTCATGATTAAAGAGCAGGTTTTATACACATGCCCCTGATCCAGCCTCTGGAATGCAGGTTTGACCAAGAAGTAAATGCTGTCAGATGCTTTTTAGCAAGCAAATCCCTGGCTGGTGTCCTGGGGCTCCCCCTCTCCTACTCTGCATTCATTCCTGTGGCTGACACGGGTTCTTACTTCATGTAAAGAATTGATTTTAAGGGATGCAGCTTTGGTGAGACAGAAGGGGAGTTCTAAAGCAATTTGGTTTTATAACTTTTTTTTTTTTTTAATTATTATTCTGGTTTCATTTGCCCTCTTTTATGGGGCCCCTGATGACGGCCACGTGTGCTGCTAGCATTGCAAACTGGGGAAGTGAGGTAAAATATTGTGCATTTTTGTGGTTGTGTCACTGGCTAGCTGTGAGGGGGAAGCTTTGGTGGTCACTTGCTAAGGGATCATCTCTGCATTTTGAGAAGTGCTAATGCAGGGGACTGTCCACGTGGCTGCAGGTGAGGAAAAGGGCTGAGGAAGTTTAAAGTGTGCTGAAATGAGAGCTCTGACTCAAATGAGAGCGTTTGGGCTGGATACGAGGGGTGGTGTAGGGGAATGGAGACCCCAGGTCACTGGGGGTTATGGACACATGCAGGGACAAGGATTAATCTTAAAACTGCTTTCAAGCCCTGTATGAGCCTGGGCAGACCCATTTTTCACTAGCAGAGGCCAAAAACAGGGATGGGGAGAAAATAGTCACGTTGTCTAATTTAATGAGCATGAAGAGGAGTTTAGTTATTTCTGAACTAAAGTATTTCAGATTTTGCCAGTTTGAATTCGTGCTGCCTTCAGAAGAGAGGGATTAACTTCCATGTTCCTCTGGGTGTGTACCCTGGCACATATGGGTTTGGTTTTTTTGTTTATGTTGTGTATGAAAAGCCATTATAATTTTTGCATGTATTCTTTGTATCAAGAGGATGCTTCCAGGGAACTTTCAGATGTCAGTGATGTCAAAGCACTCTGATCCTGCTGTAAATCTACCAGCCTGGGCACAGCATTGCACAGGTAAGACCAAAATGGGTCGCGTTGCATTTGCTTGAATCCGAGAGTCCACACCAAGCCATCAGCATCCATCTGTGCACCAACGGTGTTTGCAGCATGTTTGGGACAAATCCGTGAGTTTGGACACTTTTCCTGAAGGGACTGGGCTTGGGAAATTTTTTTGGGACGCAATGTTGCCTCGTTTACCCCTTTTATGTCTGTGGTTTGGAAGTCAGTTGGATGCCTAAAATGATGCAACTGCAAAGTGGATTGTGCATCACGGCGTCATCCTATTTCTAGGAACACTCAAAGAAATTCCTTTGAAATAAAATTCGTGCAAGCTTCAAAGGAAAAGCGTTCAGACAAAAGGTCTTGGCGCTTGCAAGGAATTCAGGCTGGGTATTTTTATAAGTATTGCCACTGCCAGGAAACACCCTGCACAGTGGATCCTGGGATGCCTGAGGTACAATTGTTCCTGCAAAAACTTGTCAGCTGGTGCAGTGCTCCCTGCTATGCAGACACCATCACAGGCACTATTTCAATAGCCGATGCTTTTGTCACTCAAGCTTGAACATCAGAGCTGATGCTGTTCAATTATAGATGTATTCTGGCAACCTTGAGGCAGTGGGCTCTTACCAGAGTAAGAGAGGTAATTGCTTTTACTTTTAAAGCATGACCAGACCATAAATCAAGAATCACTGACATCTCATGAAAGGAGCTGAGTTTTAAATCCCTTTAATAGCATAAATGGGTTTTGAGCATGTTGTATAGGTCATTGTAACCTAAGCTAATGAATCTGACTTTAACAACCTGTATGAAAGCAATTACAATGATATAAACAGTCTGCACAGGTTTAATGCGTGGAATATGTAGGTTAAACAATCCAAGTTTATGTCCCTGGTCATCTTGTTGCCTTTAGCTTTGGAAAGAGAACTGAGCAAGCTGGAAACTAATCCCTTGAGGTAAGAAATTAGATTTTGCCATTTGCCATGAGTGAGAAAAGCAAGGACAGCTCAGTGGTCAAAGGATGGCTCTCAAATCCTAGTGGGGCCAGCTTGGCCTTTACTACTAGTCTGATAAATCAGGAGAGCTCTGGGAGGTGCAGAGTGTGTTCCTCTTTCTACAGAGCCTTTCCGAAGTGACCACTTGATTACACTTTTTTTCTTCTACAAGTTTTGTATTCTGGACATGTTTCCTCTGTTTGGGAC